TTCGTATAGGGCTGTGTAGTGTCAGAATTCACAGCATGGATCTCATACCTTGGGAAATTTGACAGAAATAGGAAATAACATTTATCTTACCTTATTGCGAAATGAAGGGACTTGGATAAGTTTCCATTCCTTACAACTAAAGGTCACATGCTTTAGCTGTGGCATACCTGCAGTTGGTAATGTACCCTTTTTGTGGTACCCAACTCCTGGAAGGAGCATGCCCCACATGCCAATAAGCTGAATCCCCTTTTCATTCAGTTATAATGTTAGAATTTGACATATGATGGATGACAATGGATGTTATGGATATTGGTGATCCTCATGCTTTTCAGATGACTTTATAAAATGGGCTGTCAAAAAAGCTTCTGCCATACTCAATTTCAAAACTGATGAGGAAACTCTAAAACCAGACAGGTATATCATTACACAACATTACAAGCATGTCACTTAAAATAATTATTTTATTTAATCAAAGATGAATGACAATCATACAAAACCATGTACAACATGTACACATTCATTCCTATAATCATTTACCCCTAACAGTCAATATATTAAATTCATCTATAACAATCAATCTATAAGATATATTATTACTTTCCCAAGAAATCTATTTTTATAAAACCACAATTTGTGATGATTCGTGATTCTTGATTAAAAGCCAATGCCTTCAATCATTGCACACTGATCTCGCACCTGTACACATCAAATGAATACAAGGGATCCCAGTGGGATCTTGGTGCCCACCATTTTCTTTATCTTTAGACGTTCTTTGAAAGTTGGATCTTTTCTCGTCTCTGTTTTTGCTCTTAATGATAAGATATTTGAACATTCCTTTGCAGAAATAGCAATGATAATCTTTTACTTGCCAAATCCAAAATGACTGCCTAGAAGCCATTTCTTTTTTTTCCAGATCAGTCCCAAATTAAAACGAGCACAAGGAGAGATCAAAGGGAACATACGTATGAAATTTGAGACATCCACTCAGTACGTCTTTGAAAATAGTAATAACAATCTTTACTAGGCAAAATCCAAAATGGCTGCCTGTTGGCCATTTTATTTTCCTGCTCAGTACCAAACTCAAACAGGCACAACTAGGTACCTAAAGGAACCTTTACATGAAATTTGAGAAGGATTTATAAAGTAGCTCTCAATAAATAGTAATAAAAAACTTTCGAGGTCAAAATCAAAGATGGCTGCCTTTTGGCCATTTTGTTATTCTGATCAGACCCAAAATCAAATGGGCACAACTAGGGACCAAAGGGAACCTACATATCAAATTTAAGAAAGATCCATCTAGAACTTCTCAAGAAATATCGATAACAAGAATTGTTTCTGGTCAGATGATGACGGACCACAGACGCATAGCAATTAAAAATGGTGATTCAAAGTGTAGGAGAGGATTCAGCACTGATCTCGCATGTTTACACATCTGATACATAAATAAAACGGTGACTCCAAGTGTGGGAGGGAAGGATACAACACTCTCTCCAGGTGTACATATTAAATATAAATAAAAGTAAATAAAATGGCTGATAAAATTGTAAGTATTAATGGAGTCTTAACATCTTCATCTATATGTTAACATAAAGTGTAGAAAAAATAACAAGTTTCCCCAACTTCTGCTCATCACTTTAGTTAGAATGATTGGTGATTGATACAACTGCTCATCGGGCAGATTACCTTCCCACATCCACAAGGAATCACCTGACCACCTAACCTCAGGTATCTGTCTACCAAAACTAACTCACACTTTCTAATTTGCTCTTCTATAAATATCAGAATATGGAGGTGATATCAAAGAAAGGATTTGAAAAGAAAGAAATTTGTAACTGAGTTCACAGAGTAACAGACAACTATAGAGTGACATGGCCAATGTGTGGACACAATAAAAGATAGCATAGGAATGCTAACACACAGGTTAAGTTATGTTAGAATCGAGACCGGTTCAAATAAGAAATATTAGAGATAAGTCCGGGGAACTATACAAATGTATGCTACACCAACTTATCATACACTCGAACCCTCCATTCCTCTCTTGCAGATATCTTATGATGGAACATGGCAATAGTCGATTCCCTCTGTCTCAATCCCTTGCTCCAACTTTCTATTTTCACTAGTCCCTATACCAATTCTACTAGCTTTCCTAATTTTCCTGATCAACTGAAAGGCCACAATAGCATACAAAGTAATTAATTTTCATACAGTGATAATTACATAAGTAATTACTTATCACACATTAACAAAGCATTTGTCAAACTTGTTCATACAAATAGTCTGTGCTCATATATACCCACATTTAGTTTCGATAACACAAATGAACAAAATGATAATTTCCTTAGACTACTAAAGCAATTAATAAATACATTTTAAGGTATAGATGTAAATTAAAATAGGAGTATTTGTTATTGAACATCAATGTATAAAATTTCATATATAACAAAATGTTTCCAAGTATTGCTACTATTCTAAAACGTGCTTTAATCCAGGAAACACATGACATCTTGGTCCATTGTTTATCAAACTTTCAATCTGTAAATTAGACAATGCTCTCCTCATTAATAGACTGATCTATGTCAGGAAACAAAGAACATTGAAAAGAAAAGAAATTCAACATAGATTTTTCCACAAATCATCTTATGAACCATTAAAATGTCACTCGATAATCTGTAAAAAAAAGTTTCAAAATCTCCAGCTCTGACCTGAAAATGTCATTTAAATTCAAGTAGTGAAATATGATTTGACAATATACAATTTGAACATATACTCTCCAATTATACAGAATCTCCTGCATTTAGACACAAATATACAATCACATTCAACATGAACCATGAACTGTATCCATGATATCTATACTGCCAAGTAAAGCCCCTGTCACTCTAAAACATGATCCCACCAAACCTGTCCATGTATAGATCAATGGGAATGTTTATAACGGTGAGTTATGTGAATATTGGTTGACAAAGTACAAAATAAAAATACAAAAAATGTAACAAAAAAAATCCCTTATCACTAGATATGAACGAGTATAACCTTAAATAAGTTTATCATTCCAAGAGGTCTTAACATCTTTAAAACCTTGGAAGGGCTTATTACTGATGAAAAGCAATGCTTTATAATTTTACTGAGCCACATGGGTGAGTTATCACCAGGCTTATTGTCAAATCTGTCAACATACATATCTTACAGTAATCTTATTTCAGAATTTTTCAGACTGAAATTAGAGCTCTCCAATATGATTGCACTCGATTACAATTCCAGTTTTTGGGTCTTTGTTACAGAACAATTAAGGTCAATGTGCCAAAAAAATGTTTATGAGCTGAAATTTAAAATTAAGCATGTTTACAGTAAAATGGTAAAATGGTTGAAATCACCATATATGTTCAAAGAAAATGTTTTTGTGCTGTGAGAATGCTGAAGTTTTTGTGGTAATGTCAGCTTAGTTTACATAAGGTTCACAGATCACCATTGATATACAGTTGATGTCTTTGTGTGGTAATCAACCACAAAGTTCAACTTCAGTGGAGGAGACTGAAAGACATATGATTCTGAATAGATGCAAATATCTCTAAATTGTTTTTAATATAAAAAAAAAAAAATTTATGAAACATAATTCAACACAACTGTTTTGATAATAAAACTACATACACCAGTAAGAGGAGGACTGATTTTTGTTGACATTCAATCTGTCGGTGTATACCAGCGTACAATCTGTCAGTGTATACCAGCGTACAATCTGTGTATACCAGCATACAATCTGTCAGTGTATACCAGCGTACAATCTGTGTATACCAGCGTACAATCAGTCCCGTGTATACCAGCATACAATCTGTGTATACAAGCGTACAATCTGTCAGTGTATACCAGCGTACAATCAGTCCGTGTATACCAGCGTACAATCTGTGTATACCAGCATACAATCTGTCAGTGTATACCAGCGTACAATCTGTGTATACCAGCGTACAATCAGTCCCGTGTATACCAGCATACAATCTGTGTATACAAGCGTACAATCTGTCTGTGTATACCAGCGTACAATCTCAGTGTATACCAGCGTATACCAGCGTACAATCTGTCTGTGTATACCAGCGTACAATCTCAGTGTATACCAGCGTACAATCTGTCAGTGTATACCAGCACACAATCTGTCAGTGTATACCAGCGTACAATCTCAGTGTATAACAGCGTACAATCTGTCTGTGTATACCAGCGTACAATCTGTCAGTGTATACCAGCGTAAAATCAGTCCGTGTATACCAGCATACAATCTGTGTATACAAGCGTACAATCTGTCTGTGTATACCAGCGTACAATCTCAGTGTATACCAGCGTACAATCTGTCTGTGTATACCAGCGTACAATCTCAGTGTATACCAGCGTACAATCTGTCAGTGTATACCAGCATACAATCTGTCTGTGTATACCAGCGTACAATCTCAGTGTATACCAGCATACAATCTGTCTGTGTATACCAGCGTACAATCTGTCTGTGTATACCAGCGTACAATCTCAGTGTATACCAGCGTACAATCTGTCTGTGTATACCAGCGTACAATCTGTCTGTGTATACCAGCGTACAATCTCAGTGTATACCAGCATACAATCTGTCTGTGTATACCAGCATACAATCTGTCAGTGTATACCAGCGTACAATCTCAGTGTATACCAGCGTACAATCTGTCTGTGTATACCAGCGTACAATCTCAGTGTATACCAGCGTACAATCTGTCTGTGTATACCAGCGTACAATCTCAGTGTATACCAGCGTACAATCTCAGTGTATACCAGCATACAATCTGTCTGTGTATACCAGCGTACAATCTGTCTGTGTATACCAGCGTACAATCTCGTGTATACCAGCGTACAATCTGTCAGTGTATACCAGCGTACAATCTCAGTGTATACCAGCGTACAATCTCAGTGTATACCAGCATACAATCTGTCTGTGTATACCAGCGTACAATCTGTCAGTGTATACCAGCGTACAATCTGTCTGTGTATACCAGCGTACAATCTGTCTGTGTATACCAGCGTACAATCTCGTGTATACCAGCGTACAATCTGTCTGTGTATACCAGCGTACAATCTCAGTGCAGCGTACAATCTCAGTGTATACCAGCATACAATCTGTCTGTGTATACCAGCGTACAATCTGTCTGTGTATACCAGCGTACAATCTGTGTACAGCGTACAATCTGTCAGTGTATACCAGCGTACAATCTGTCAGTGTATACCAGCACACAATCTGTCAGTGTATACCAGCGTACAATCTCAGTGTATACCAGCGTACAATCTGTCTGTGTATACCAGCGTACAATCTGTCTGTGTATACCAGCGTACAATCTGTCAGTGTATACCAGCGTACAATCTCAGTGTATACCAGCATACAATCTGTCAGTGTATACCAGCGTACAATCTCAGTGTATAACAGCGTACAATCTGTCTGTGTATACCAGCGTACAATCTGTCTGTGTATACCAGCGTACAATCTCGTGTATACCAGCGTACAATCTGTCTGTGTATACCAGCGTACAATCTGTCAGTGTATACCAGCGTACAATCTCAGTGTATACCAGCGTACAATCTGTCAGTGTATACCAGCGTACAATCTGTCTGTGTATACCAGCGTACAATCTGTCCGTGTATACCAGCGCACAATCTGTCCGTGTATACCAGCGTACAATCTGTCAGTGTATACCAGCGTACAATCTGTCTGTGTATACCAGCGTACAATCTGTCCGTGTATACCAGCGTACAATCTCGGTGTATAACAGCGTACAATCTGTCTGTGTATACCAGCGTACAATCTGTCAGTGTATACCAGCGTACAATCTGTGTATACCAGCGTACAATCTCAGTGTATACCAGGGTACAATCAGTCAGTGTATACCAGTGTACATTCTGTCTGTGTATACCAGCGTACAATCTCAGTGTATACCAGCGTACAATCTGTCTGTGTATACCAGCGTACAATCTGTCAGTGTATACCAGCGCACAATCTGTCTGTGTATACCAGCGCACAATCTGTCAGTGTATACCAGCGTACAATCTTAGTGTATACCAGCGTACAATTTCAGTGTATACCAGCATACAATCTGTCTGTGTATACCAGCGTACAATCTCAGTGTATACCAGCATACAATCTGTCTGTGTATACCAGCGTACAATCTGTCAGTGTATACCAGCACACAATCTGTCAGTGTATACCAGCGTACAATCTGTCTGTGTATACCAGCGTACAATCTGTCTGTGTATACCAGCGCACAATCTGTCAGTGTATACCAGCGCACAATCTGTCTGTGTATACCAGCGCACAATCTGTCGGTGTATACCAGCGTACAATCAGTCCGTGTATACCAGTAAACAATCAGTCAGTGTATACCACCATACAATCTCAGTGTATACCACCATACAATCTGTCAGTGTATACCAGCGTACAATCCGTCTGTGTATACCAGCGCACAATCTGTCAGTGTATACCAGCGTACAATCTGTCCGTGTATACCAGCGTACAATCTGTCGGTGTATACCAGCGTACAATCTGTGTATACCAGCGTACAATCAGTCCGTGTATACCAGGGTACAATCAGTCCGTGTATACCAGAGTACAATCTGTCAGTGTATACCAGCGTACAATCTGTGTATACCAGGGTACAATCAGTCAGTGTATATCAGCGTACAATCTGTCCGTGTATACCAGCGTACAATCTGTCCGTGTATACCAGCGTACAATCTGTGTATACCAGCGTACAATCTGTCCGTGTATACCAGCGTACAATCTGTCCGTGTATACCAGCGTACAATCTGTCCGTGTATACCAGCGTACAATCAGTCCGTGTATACCAGCGTACAATCTGTCAGTGTATACCAGCGTACAATCTGTCCGTGTATAACAGCGTACAATCAGTGTATACCAGCGTACAATACAATCTGTCAGTGTATACCAGCATACAATCAGTCCGTGTATACCAGTAAACAATTATACAATCAGTCAGCCATATTTCACACCAGAATGATTGAATACAATGACATCCCTTATGGCTGAAACAGCCGTGACACACGTTACATTATCATTTATTTCAACTACACAATCACTATTAAATGACTTTTCAAGTGAAAGATATACACTTGAATTATTCTGATGTTCTTACAACTTTTTAAGTTTTGATGAATGCCACACAGATACCAAAATACTTCTTACTTAATGTATATCTGTTTATATATGTATTGTGAAGGTGAATAAGAATGAGGTCAGCTTAAAGGCAACCTGTCGCCGTTGTTTTTGTGACAACCTAGGCGACTGACTAAGATTCAAACCATAATCAAATAGAGTTACACAAGTACTAGGTAGAGTTACACAAGTACTAGGTAGAGTTACACATGTACTAGGCAGAGTTACACAAGTACTAGGTAGAGTTGCACAAGTACTAGGCAGAGTTACACAAGTACTAGGTAGAGTTACACAAGTACTAGGTAGAGTTACACATGTACTAGGCAGAGTTACACAAGTACTAGGCAGAGTTACACAAGTACTAGGTAGAGTTACACAAGTACTAGGTAGAGTTACACATGTACTAGGCAGAGTTACACAAGTACTAGGCAGAGTTACACAAGTACTAGGTAGAGTTGCACAAGTACTAGGCAGAGTTACACAAGTACTAGGTAGAGTTACACAAGTACTAGGTAGAGTTACACATGTACTAGGCAGAGTTACACAAGTACTAGGCAGAGTTACACAAGTACTAGGCAGAGTTACACATGTACTAGGTAGAGTTACACAAGTACTAGGTAGAGTTACACATGTACTAGGTAGAGTTACACATGTAATAAGTAGATTTACACAAGTACTATGTAGACTTACACAAGTACTAGGTAGAGTTCCACAAGTACTAGGCAGAGATACACAAGTACTAGGTAGAGTTACACATGTACTAGGTAGAGTTACACAAGTACTAGGTAGAGTTACACATGTAATAGGTAGGGTTACACAAGTACTATGTAGAGTTAAACATTACTTGGCAGGGTTACACAAGTACTATGTAGAGTTAAACATTACTTGGCAGGGTTACACAAGTACTAGGTAGAGTTAAACATTACTTGGCAGGGTTACACAAGTACTATGTAGAGTTAAACATTACTTGGCAGGGTTACACAAGTACTATGTAGAGTTAAACATTACTTGGCAGGGTTACACAAGTACTAGGTAGAGTTAAACATTACTTGGCAGGGTTACACAAGTACTAGGTAGAGTTAAACATTACTTGGCAGGGTTACACAAAAACTTTGATCTAAATGAATATTTCATGTAGATTAATATTTGAGAGTTAATGTGTACCAGAGCATCATCCTAGCACCAAAAGATGTGTTTAAACAATTACCTCATACAAAAATCCACATTGTAAATCAAATCAAACATGAGCCCATACAACATGAGTAACAAGCTGTAATACAAGATAAGAATATCAAAGGAAAAGTTTGAAGTTTTCACTTGAATTGATGTTAATGTTCAGGAAGAGAGTTTTAACTATGTTGAAACCATTATTCAGAAAAATTTTTAGGGTAAAATTGTTTTGTAAAAAGTTTTCACTGAAAACTTGTATTCATGGTTCAAGAAGAGATTCAATTTTCAACTTGGGTTGAAATAAGAGTTTAAGTAAATGTGTGTGTTTTTTTTAATTGGATTGAAGTTAAAGCTCTATATATTTTATTACAAGGGCTTTGTAAATGTTCTTTAAATTTAAGTTCTGGAGTTGATATCAATTGATAAATTGAATTTTGAAATAAGATTGAAGTTATTGTTCAGATGAAGTTTTAATTTTTCACTTGGGTTGAAGTTGTTGAATATATCATTCCACCTCACTTCAGTCTCACTGTGGCAGAAAAGCCTTCTCTGTGATACTGTAAGGAATCTTCAGGGTTTTCCATAATTTTGTTAGTAGTAGGCTGTGTAGTGAAAGTAGGAGGCTGGCCTTCCATGTACGTGTAGTCGTGTACGGAACATTATTACGGAACTGGACTGGTGTAGGCGGCCAAATGATCAAAGTAGGCTGTCAAATTGGCCGGCGACCGCCTCTTATGGAAAACCCTGAATCTTTCTACATATCTGATTCACCAGAAGTCACCAGTGATACTGTACACACAGAAAAATGCTTTCACCACCATGACAATATCCACACAGGTGGTTTGTGGTCATGACTTGCTCACATCAATGTTATCATGTCTCAATGGTCAACCTACATAGGCAGCAAATGGTCATCTCGGTCATCTTCTTCTTGTAACTGGTCATCTCCTAAACCTTTAAAAGTAGGTTTTTGGGGTGACCCTCCAGACCGACATACAAGGTTACAACCATCCTGTAAGACAATAAAAAATAATCAATCTCGATCAATCACAAACACCAGTTCAGCACTAATCTTTAAGATCAATCACAAACACCAGTTCAGCACTAATCTTTAAGATCAATCACAAACACCAGTTCAGCACTGTTCTTTAAGATCAATCACAAACACCAGTTCAGCACTAATCTTTAAGATCAATCACAAACACCAGTTCAGCACTAATCTTTAAGATCAATCACAAACACCAGTTCAGCACTGTTCTTTAAGATCAATCACAAACACCAGTTCAGCACTAATCTTTAAGATTAATCACAAACACCAGTTCAGCACTAATCTTTACGATCTATCACAAACACCAGTTCAGCACTAATCTTTAAGATCAATCACAAACACCAGTTCAGCACTAATCTTTACAAACACCAGTTCAGATAATCTTTAATCACAAACACCAGTTCAGCACTCTTTAAGATCAATCACAAACACCAGTTCAGCACTAATCTTTAAGATCTAATCTTTAAGATTAATCACAAACACCAGTTCAGCACTAATCTTTAAGATCAATCACAAACACCAGTTCAGCACTAATCTTTAAATCACAAACACCAGTTCAGCACTGTTCTTTAAGATCAATCATCTTTACAAACACCAGTTCAGCACTAATCTTTATGATCAATCACAAACACCAGTTCAGCACTGTTCTTTAAGATCAATCACAAACACCAGTTCAGCACTAATCTTTAAGATCAATCACAAACACCAGTTCAGCACTGTTCTTTAAGATCAATCACAAACACCAGTTCAGCACTAATCTTTACGATCTATCACAAACACCAGTTCAGCACTAATCTTTATGATCAATCACAAACACCAGTTCAGCACTAATCTTTAAGTCTTGTACAAAAAGTACTCTCCTGTTAATAAGTCACATGATTTTCCTTCTAGCTCATTAACAGTTTCAATAATACACATGGTACTCACGGATTGCAGATTACCAAAGTCCTGCCAGAAGGAGTAGTTTGGAAGCTGTTCCATGCCCTTGGCTCCTAACACAAATCTTTGGTAAGCAATTCCAAGCAACAGGTAGAGAAAAACTACACTCACAAACCTGAGAAAGAAAACATCAAAATATCTTAGTTGTGAAATAAATATGATAATTCAAACTTATATCTATGTATGCTCATCCCAACACATATTTCATATCCTGAATTTTCAGTTTTACTAGCCCATAATTTCAATTTTGCATACAATCCCATCATTTCTACAAGAGAATAGGATTTTTTACAAAACTTCAAAAAATGCCCTTTTGGGCCCTTGCCCCTTGGGCTCCTGGGGACCCATGATTTATACAAAGTTTGTTTCAACTGCCAAAAACTAGTAGTGATTTGTAGAGAAAGTTGACACCTGTTCAATGCATGGTTGGGAAATCAAAGAATTGGGGACCAATTTATCAGTTTGAGGAATTGCAGGTATTCAAGAAATGCAAACTGAAGGGAGTGGAGTTTTATCATATTTAAGTACCTTAACCTAATTTAACAAAATCAATTCTCCAATACACAATTCACACAGAAAATTTAACATGAAAATATTTATGAAGTGAGGGTTAGATACAGTATATGTCCTGTTTCTTACATATGGATAAAAGTACTGCATAGGTTGAAACCCTGGGTCTGCTTCTACCAAGGGCATCTATTACTTACACGATTACTAATATGGATCCTAAACTTAGTCCAAAAGTCACTGCAGGCTTGGTACGACATGCTGCACTGGAGGCCATTTCAAATAAATAATAGCATTCACCAGTCTTATTGGTGTTTTCTTCAAAAATATTGATCCTTTCAGACTGAAATCAAAACAAAACTACCAGGATTAATTATCTTACATTCGATACAATAAGGAACTCAATACAAATGCTATATTTGTAAAACATGGTCATACAAAGCAAAACTTTAAACACGTCCTGGTATAAAATAACATTAATAAAGTAGTGATCATGAAGCAAAAAAAATGATACACATAGAAATAAATGACTGATGTTGTATTACCATGTACCAATGTTATGCACTTGATGGCATGCTACCATGTGCCAATGTCATATTGTAATGTACTGATTTTATACTTTCTACGGATGTCATGTTACCATAAACCAGTGTCAGGTAACTATGTACCAATGTCTTGTTACCTTATATCGATGTCAAATACTGATGTCATTTTGTCATCTAGTGATGTCTTGTTACCATGTAATGATGTCATCTTGCTTAAAGAATATTTTCAGGTCTGAGAGAGAAATTACTAGGAAGTCTGTTAAAGACATTATATAAGGTCTTGTAAAAGATGTTCCTTGTGGGTCTGTGAAAGAGATTACTAGGAGGTCTGTGGGAGAGATTACTAGGAGGTCTGTGAAAGAGATTACTAGGAAGTCTGTGATAGAGATTATTAGGAGGTCTGTGGGAGAGATTACTAGGAGGACTGTGGGAGAGATTACTAGGAGGTCTGTGGGAGAGATTACTAGGAGGTTTGTGATAGAGATTATTAGGAGGTCTGTGAGACAGATTACTAGGAGGTTTGTGGGAGAGATTACTAGGAGGTCTGTGGGAGAGATTACTAGGAGGTCTGTGGGAGAGATTATTAGGAGGTCTGTGAGAGAGATAACTAGGAAGTCTGTGATAGAGATTATTGGGAGGTCTGTGAGACAGATTACTAGGAGGTTTGTGGGAGAGATTACTAGGTCTGTGGGAGAGATTACTAGGAGGTCTGTGAGACAGATTACTAGGTCTATGGGAGAGATTATTAGGAGGTCTGTGAGAGAGATTACTAGGAAGTCTGTGAAAGAGATTACTAGGAGGTCTGTGAGAGAGATTACTAGGAGGTCTGTGAGACAGATTACTAGGAGGTCTGTGAGACAGATTACTATGAGGTCTGTGAGACAGATTACTAGGAGGTCTGTGAGACAGATTACAAGGAGGTCTGTGAGAGAGATTACTAGGAGGTCTGTGGGAGAGATTACTAAGAGGTCTGTGGGAGAAATTACTAGGAGGTCTGTGAGAGTGATTACTAGGAGGTCTGTGGGAGAGATAACTAGGAGGTCTGTGGGAGAGATTACAAGGAGGTCTGTGGGAGAGATTACTAGGAGGTCTGGGAGAGATTACTAGGAGGTCTGGGAGAGAGATTACTGGGAGGTCTGGGAGACAGATTGCTAGGAGGTCTGTGAGACAGATTACTAGGAGGTCTGTGGGAGAGATTACTAGGAGGTCTGTGGGAGAGATTACTAGGAGGTCTGTGAAAGAGATTACTAGGTCTGTGGGAGAGATTACTAGGAGGTCTGGGAGACAGATTGCTATAGGTCTGAGGTCTGTGAGACAGATTACTAGGAGGTCTGTGGGAGAGATTACTAGGAGGTCTGTGGGAGAGATTACTAGGAGGTCTGTGAGACAGATTACTAGGAGGTCTGTGAGACAGATTACTAGGAGGTCTGTGAGACAGATTACTAGGAGGTCTGTGAGAGAGATTACTAGGAGGTATGGGAGACAGATTACTAGGAGGTCTGTGGGAGAGATTACTAGGAGGTCTGTGAAAGAGATTACTAGGAGGTCTGTGGGAGAGATTACTAGGAGGTCTGTGGGAGAGATTACTAGGAGGTCTGTGGGAGAGATTACTAGGTCTGTGAGAGAGATTACTAGGAGGTCTGGGAGACAGATTACTAGGAGGTCTGTGAGACAGATTACTAGGAGGTCTGTGGGAGAGATTACTAGGAGGTCTGTGGGAGAGATTACTAGGAGGTCTGTGAAAGAGATTACTAGGTCTTTGGGAGAGATTACTAGGAGGTCTGTGAAAGAGATTACTAGGAGGTCTGTGGGAGAGATTACTAGGAGGTCTGTGGGAGAGATTACTAGGAGATCTGTGAAAGAGATTACTAGGAGGTCTGTGGGAGAGATTATTAGGAGATCTGTGAAAGAGATTACTAGGAGGTCTGTGGGAGAGATTATTAGGAGGTCTGTGAAAGAGATTACTAGGAGGTCTGTGGGAGAGATTACTAGGAGGTCTGTGAAAGAGATTACTAGGAGGTCTGTGAGAGAGTTTACTTTTGGGTCTATGAAATAGATTACTAGGAGGTCTGTGAGAGAGATTACTTTCGGGTCTGTGAAAGAAATTGCATAAGGGCTGTAAAACGGCCTTGGCTATGGCATTAAAATCACCAATTATTCATGTTTCCCTGGCAAAATTTAAGTACTTTTCTCTTCAGTTTAGAGCCCTACTGCATTGACATCCTGTTTATAATGCAGCATACTAGACATGTTGAATATGTACATTGTACAATAACATGTAGTGTAACTCATTCCTCATACTGATATAATGTTGTAGATCATCTTTTACTGTTGATGAGTTTGAGTATAGTTTGGCATCATTCACAAATACATAAAATGATCACATAATCAATCACCTTTGTTAAAAATATGATGGTTATATATAAAATAAACATTGATTAATGCTGTTTTTTGACAAAAATCAGAAAAAGAAACAAGAGGCCCAGGGACCTTAATGGTCATCTGACTACAAAAACATTCAGCAGGGAGAAGGGTTACATTTTCTACTTTGAATGAAATCTTACTAAGAAGCTGTTTTCTATACTGCAGATGGTAGTTTTGGGAGTGAGTTGGTAACTGTAATAAGTGTTACCTAGCTTTTGACAGTAAAGTTAGAATTCAATCCCAAAGGTAAATCTTGAGAAATAGTTCGAAATAGGTGTTGCACAGGAATACCATGATTGCACAATCATGTTACAAAATAGCCTCCCTGGTGGCCATGATGAAGTTTGACAAGGTTGAAAAATAACAACACTTTGTTGGCTACCTTTTCTTAACATTCCCAACACTTCTTAGCTCAATGGCATCAGTGGAACTGGAGAAGGAGTTTCAAATATGTTTTTCCACATGGCAGCCATCTTGAATTTCAGACATACCCGAAAAATATCAACATGTCGTCAGGACCATCTCAGGATCATTTCATGAAAGTTTGAGCTCAATACCAGTGGTGGAACTTCAGAAGAAGTTTAAGACGTCAAAAGTTTACACACGGCAGACAGTGGGCAGATGACAATGGCCCTACGTCTGTATAAATCACTTTGCATTCTGTAAAAGGTGAAGGTCTGTGAACTAGGAAACAAGAAACACCATGTTTCTTAAAACATGGCCTCTTAAATTTTTTTCATATTTACCCCAACATCGACATCTTCATCACAAATTATCATGATTCTGGCTCGACGCGTCTCTTGGGTGCAATGAGTATGATACTTTTCTCCATCTCTGTACTCAAGAAGAATCCATCCGGCTGGAAAATGAAAGAAATCAGAAGAATTAAGATAACCTGTAATTACTTAAGGGTAATATTTATTTCGTTTTTGACAGAAAGATGTCAGACAGAGTGTGAAATTTTGTATCTTCAAATGCAGTAATAAGATCAATCTATTGATCATATGTATTCACTACAATCAATACCAAAGATTCAGTTATTTGGCAAAGTGACTGTGGAGATAAAGCTTTAGTTACATTCAACAGTAAATTCACAAACATTTGTAACATTTTTGTAAATAAATGTGTACCAATATTTAATTGAACCAACTCAGCAGAAAGCAGCAACACTTTTAAAATACTCTGGAAGTAATGAATTATCTTGTTGTTAATTTTGAAACTGATTATATACAGTTTCACAAAATTAAATTATGCTATCATTTCCTACACTTACTTTAAAAACAAAAACATTTTGTCATATTTTTGCATTCTTCTTCATTATTTGTGTTATGGTATTTAGAAAGGAAGAATGCACTACTGAAATGAAGAAAGGGCAGAGCTTCATTCCATGAAGTGTCATAAGGTAGATAACATATAGTAATATAGATAGTAAATGGACAGGATTCAATAATGTCTGGTTTTCTCAAAAAGAGGCCCACGGGCCTTAACAGTCATCTGACTACAAAACTTTCAGCAGGGGAGAAGGGTTACTTTTTCTACTTTCTACTTTTACTAAGAAGCTGTTTTTTTCAATGATGCAGATGGTAGTTTTGGTAAGGGGAAGGTAACTGTAACAAGTGTTACCTATTTTTTGACAGTAAAGTTAGAGCTCATTCCCACAAGTGAAACTTGAGAAGTTTGAAAAAGTGTTGCACAGGAATACCATGATTGCGCAGTCATGTTACAAAATGGCCTCCCTTGTGGCCGTGGTTTGACAAAGTCGAAAAATGACAACACTTAGGCTGCCTTTCCTTATTATTCCCAACAATTTTTAGCTCAATGGCACCAGTGTAACTGGAGAAGAAGTTTAAAATATGTTTTTCAAGATGGTGGCCATCTTGGATTTCAGACATCACCAAAAAATAACAACACTTAGTCCAGACCATCTCAGGATCATTTCATGCAAGTTTTGAGTTCAATCCCAATGGTGGAACTTGAGAAAAAATTTTAAAAATGACAAAAGTTTACGCATAGTGGATGGTCCACAACGGACGATGACAGACAAAGCACAATGGCTATAATAGGTCAGATGATCTAAAAGCAAAGTCAAGAATTGAGTATTACCTAATTTTATACCTTAGATTGAGTTATCTTCAATTATATTTGATAAAGCCTATAATTTCCCATGCATAACTCATACTGAACATGTTCATTATTTGTCAAGGATTTCTTCTGCCTGACATTTTTTTGGAAAATGCTTTGTAACAAACTTTGTTCAAATTCAAAATGTCTGTTGGTGGTTATCTTAAAATTCAGATGAATCTCAAAATGTAGCACCAACAAATCAAACTGTATGGAACATGTTCAAAATATTTCAAGGAGAAAATATTGGTTCAGAAATAGTAGATAGAGATGTGATGACAGACTGAAAAACTATTTATCATGTGGTAAGCCACAAAACATAACAAGGATTAAGTTTATAAGACACTTACTTCCTTGGGTCATTGAGGTATTGTTGTATCGACCAACAACATGACCATCTTTAGGATCTAAATTTCCATCTGTATATTTGAACTGGTAGACTCCTATATTTTTGTTGTTCTCCATATCGTGAAACTCTGTTTTATCTAATGCATCTGTGCAGATCCCAATCTTGTATACATATTCCTTATTCACATCTTCTGCTCTGAATCTGTTAAAAAAAAGGGCATACATTCTTCATCATATTTTTGGCACGTTTATTGATGTTTGCTTTACCTGTTGTCAATTCTTTTAATTTTGTTTTACTATTTGATAAAATTACCCATTTTCCACTTCTTGAACAAAACTTTGCACAATGATACAATCATAGAAATTACAGGTTGCCTTTTCAGGATAAAATACAAAAACCAGGTAAGATTTCAGTGAAATCACAGAACTGTTTTTCATCATTAAATGCATTTTTACTTAGTGAAATATTTTCACATAAGTGTTAAAGAACAATTTTATACTTGCACTACAGTACACAAGATATCAAGGTGCTTCCCTTCCTTATCAACCCTTAGATCAGTTGTTGAAAACTGTCTGATTTGTTGGCCAATGAGGTTTATATCGTCTTCTTGCGGTTGTCTTTTTTTCATTTTCTCAGTTTAATCATATTCAAAGTTGAGTAAGCTCTTTGATGATAAACACATTCTTGTAGTAACATTGAATATTGTTATCTTACTGCTTGCACAGACTTATAAATTTCAGATATCTTAAACAAAATTAGGATTTGCAATTAATGAAAAATAAATAAAAGTTATGTTTTTGAATTATTATTAATGTGAATGTCTCTTGACGTTTCAATATGTTTCTTAAATGAATATTGTGTTTTAAAATTATTAGGAAACCAATTTACTTCAGTGAAAATTATGTGTTAAAGCACTTAAGTAGAAATCAATATAAGTAGAAATCACCATTTACTTTCTACCAATACTTAATAACATCAGGATGACCGAGCATGCGCAGAGCAACAGAAGACTGGGACAATTAATTTTGATAAAACCAAGACAGAGGTTACCTGCAACAACCCATATTGGTTTACATTTACACTTAATAAAAAAATCATAATTAAGTGTGAAAAATGACACTTAAATACATAAAGTAGATACTTTGCTAAGTAGGTAAATGATTATGGTATATTATCCCGAAACCGCCGCCCATAAAGAATGACATATTTTCTAACATCATTGACTTCAAGAGATGCTTCTCTTGACTGCAACATATTGTGACAGTTTACCTCTGAAATGTCATTGTACAAAAGTGAAGTAAAATTACATACTTAGATTCAAGTCTGTGGTTAATACAATTTCCTAATTTAACTGAAGCTTGGTATCTAATTATGTTTTTATATCATATTTCAAATTCAATTTGATTCTTTACAAAATCATGAAAGAATAATAAAAATGTGTTCAATATTAAAAAAATTAACTCTGCAAAATTCGTAAAAACTTGGTTCTTTTTTGTGTTTGTTTTATGTGACAGTGTTTTTTCGCTGGGGTTTTCAGGTACAAATATCTGCTGCCAATTTGAAATGGAAAAGTCTATATATACAAAAAAAGTTAGAGGCAGCAATGTAATTATTATTCTTACCTTAACAAATATAATTTTCCTGTATAAAATATTGTAAAAATTTACCCAGGAGGAAATGCGAAACCCTGGAGTCATGAAATTTACAATTTTAGTAAAGCATCTGAAGGCTTTCCAATCCATGAAGAGTACTTGACTCTTCCATACCTGGGATTTGAGAAGAAGATTTTTTAAATTTCCATCAATTTGATCCATTTTTGGCCCTGCCAAACAGTCCCTTTGGGGTCAGCTAGGGTCAATATGTGCATCTCACTAACCTGTCATCTGAACTAATAATTCTATCCAGGTTTGAACTATTTCCAATCGAAAATACACAAATGATGTTCAAAAATGTGATTTTCCTATATAAACTTAGTTAACTTTACACCCTCCCCAGGAGGAAATGCGAGACTCTGGGGTCATGAAATTTACAATTGTGGTGCTCCTAAAGCCATTGAAGATTTTTTCCTAAAATTTCATTGAAATCGGTTTAGGAGTTTTCCAGATGAAGTGAAAAATGTGAAAAGTTTGACACCGCACAAAAGGGGGTTACAATAGGTCACAATGAGACTGTCTCGTCTCAGGTGACCTATAAACTAAATTACTGTTTGTCAGAACCCTTAACGTCATAGTAGAATATGGGATACTAACAATAATCATTTACTTTGGAAAAATTATGTACAACAAAAGGTGAGGTACAGATGTCAGAACGTTTGATTCTAGGACTGGAGCGCCAGCGTTGTAAAATACATTACAATACACATAACATTCTGTACACGTAGATACATGTACGTAAGTTAGTCATGATTGTGACATGCTGCACACGTTAAGTAAACGCATTTATGACAGAGTGGATACGTAGATAAGATAATAATCATGTTAATTATGCTTATGCCCAACTGGTAACAGTATTCATGTAATTAAGCAAATAATAACCTTTTCCCTAGCAAGGGTTGTATTTTGGCTTCGATTTTCCGATTCTCTGATGTGTGCTGCGGAAAGCTACATCCTGCAGTTGCCCTGTCAACCGCTGAGATTAATGCTACCCACAGAAGTAGAATAATATGCAGAACACATATATTCATGCTTGCAACAAGCTCTATAGTCAAAAATGTCAAAATAGTGCAGGATGTCCTGGTCCAAGGAGCATGTGATCTGACGCGTCGCAACGGAAGTGGTTTTTGCTTGTAACGAGATTTGTAATTGGCCATTAAAAATAATGTGTACAGGCAAATACATATCTCATTTTTTTTGTACCGGACATCTTACATGAGAGTGGCATGGACAGGGCAAACAGAGTGGCTCCAAAGAGAACATGAATGATGGCCGATAGGTCGCATTGCTCTTTTATCGATTTAAAGTTTATAATATTGAAAGAAAAAAAATAGTCAGATGTTATAATTTTCATCAAACATTGACTATAATAATTTCATTCTGAAAACTTGTTTGTTTTTTAGGCGTATCGCCTCATTAACTGCCAGTGTTATTCTTGTATTAGGTAGTTGGTACTACACTAAACAACAGGCATGTCGCATGTCACAAACAGCACACAGCTTCGACACCACATACCTGTCTGTTTCTCAGCTTTGCATATGGCTAGGCAAAATTTTCTGTTATTCAAGGAGCAAAAATAAAAAAAATAGATTATCTAATTTGGTCATTATTTATAGCTTGTTTGTTTTAAAGATATGTAATTTACTGAATAAGACACCCGATTAAGCATATAAGATATCTTATTGTCAGTTCAAAGTAATCTAAAGTACATTATATGAAAGTGAAGTCCGCAGGAACATATGCATTTAGTGAATAGTATACATTAGGTGTACAATGCTTGTTTGATTTACATTAGTATATATTGTGTACAAATCTGAATAAGACCGAAGTTCTACAATGCATAAAGTACATTGTGTAAAATTCAAGATTGTCAAAACATGTCTGAAGGTCCAAGGAGAGGTGATGCCTTCAATCATTGGCAATCCCATCAAATGCCTAGGGAAATGCTTCGACGACACACTGGGAGATAGTCAGAACCAGAACACCACGGTCCAGGTACACCAATGGATGGAGAGGATAAACAAGTCAGGACTTCCGGGAAAGTATAAGGCTTGGATGTATCAGCATGACATGCTTCCGAGACTGACATGGTTGCTGTTGCTGTATGAGATCCCAATGACGACAGTGGAGACTTGAGAGAGGGTGGTGAACAAGTACCTTAGAAAATGACTAGGAGTTCCGCCAAGCTCACATATATCGGTCTGTATGGACAATCTACAGAGCTACAACTGCCACTTCCGGGAGTCGGTGAGGAGTTCAAAGTGTCCATGAGCAGGCTGGTGATGACACTACGGGACTCCAAAGATCAGTGAGACAGGGATTCAGACAAGAACGGGAAGTGGTCTGCGACTGCTGCTGTAGAGGAAGCGGAGAGTATGCCGGAGTTGAGGGATATTATTGGGAATACATGTGTAGGAGGGCAAGGTGGTGGCTGGTCACACTTTCAGTAGTGGGAAAGGGCAAACACACAGGAGCGATGACGGATGGTTCAAAAAGAGTTATGGAGAGTAGATGAGCCGAGTTGGAAGCAGTTATCTGTTGAACTAAGTAAACAGGTGCATGGACCAGATGGAACCTCCCGGAGAGAAAGCTTACAACGAGATGAGCCGGCGTGGAAGCTAACATAGACGAGCAGTGGTTTGGCCACTACTGCTGACCCACCAGCCGGAGGATGTTGTGGTTTAGGGTTGAAACATCTGAAGATGGCTGGATACCACCTGATGACGTCGACAGATGCTTCGCAGCGGAAAGATACCAGTGACGTGCTACACACAAGGAATGTCACAGATAGTGGAATGAGATCATCTGTAAGTTATCAACACACAGGTTAAAGAAATGTTATCATTCACTCATAGATATATGTACAAAATACAATTACAATTAAAGTGCAACTTAGTGACAATATAAAAAAGCACACATCCTATCATTTTCCTTAGTAGTCACTATAACACTTAAGATCCATATAACACCACCGAGGGTTAACGTTATTGACATGTATATTTATATATATATATATGCTGCTGAGTTAAGTGCAGTGAGATCTGGGATGTTGACTGTGAGCAGTGGACTGCGAGAACAGTTTTTGTGGTTGAGTGCGGTGAAATCTTGGATGTTGACTATGAGCAATGGACTACGAGAACAGCTTTTGTGGTTGAGTGCGGTGAAATCTTGGATGTTGACTGTGAGCAATGGACTGCGAGAACAGCTTTTGTGGTTGAGTGAGATCTGGGATGTTGACTGCGAGAACAGCTTTTGGGGTTGAGTGCGGGGAGATCTGGGATGTTGACCCTGAGCAATGGACTGCGAGAACAGCTTTTGGGGTTGAGTGCGATGAGATCTGGGATGTTGACTCTGAGCAATGGACTGCGAGAACAGCTTTTGGGGTTGAGTGCGATGAGATCTGGGATGTTGACTGCGAGCAGTGGACTGCGAGAACAGCTTTTGGGGTTGAGTATGGTGAGATCTGGGATGTTGACTCTGAGCAATGGACTGCGAGAACAGCTTTTGGGGTTGAGTGCGATGAGATTTGGGATGTTGACTCTGAGCAATGGACTGCGAGAACAGCTTTTGGGGTTGAGTGCGATGAGATCTGGGATGTTGACTGCGAGAACAGCTTTTGGGGTTGAGTGAGATCTGGGATGTTGACTGCGAGCAGTGGACTGCGAGAACAGCTTTTGGGGTTGAGTGCGATGAGATATGGGATGTTGAATGTATCAAGTTTCCGATGACGAAGAAATATGCTTTGTCGATTTGCGCGTTTTCTGAATGTCAATAAATACACAGAGTACCCTGTAGAGAGTTGACATCATATAATTATAACAAAAGTTAGATAAACAAATCCACGAACCCATGATTAAACATGTGGTATATATAAACGGTATATATGATAGGAAAGTACTGAAAGTACTGGTATGCTAAGACCATTAAAACAATAAATTCTTTGTTATTAGCTTGCTATATACTGAAAAAAACTATATGCAAGCAGTACATCATTGCAGCCCATAAAAAATGACCAGCAGGTATCAGAAATAACAAGCATAGTAGTATTACTTATGTAATAAATGTCCCAAGTAGGCTCCAAGATGATGGGGAAGTTGTCCATTTCTCTGGATACATTGTAGGGAATGTTGATCTTGGACACTATATTATCACTTTAAAGACTGCGTATCTTATTGGTTTAAGATCATTAGCTAGACCATCATGTAAATAACATGCTACATACAAATATTGGGCAGCTTCATTTTCCAGATTGTTTGTAAATGACTGCATAAGAGTGCCAATTTTATAAAACAAACATGATTTGTCACCATAACTTAAAATAGAAGATGCCTATTCTTCTGGAACACCTGGTCTTATTCTCCTTGTACTTTTTCAGGGAATCTTCAAGTAGATATTGTCTTTGTTTCAATTTCACACTTGTTTTGCTGGTTATACAATTCTGATGACATGTTTATATATTCTTTGTTCTCTAAAACTTGTCGCAAGATATTTTATTCCTCTTGTATTATCATTTTTTAACATCCTTACAGTGACCTTGAACCTTGAAATTTGCAAGATGTGAATATCTTTTAGGTTGTGAAATTTGAAAGAAGAATGAGGGTAATGCAAAGGGAAACACACCCATGCAACTATCCGTTTTTTGACTGTGACCTTGATCTCGGACATCTGACCCTGAATTTCTTAAGAAACCGAATTCTCATAAGGGATACATGTTCCAAATTTGATTAAGGTATACTAACTGTTTTAGTCTCAATGCGTTTACAAGGTAATCATATTGTACTTATGCAAGTACTGTGACCTCTACATTCAATCCTCAAAATCATTACTATATCCTCTCCACATTGCCCAGGGATAACTGAAACTGTAATCCAAATGATAACTAATACCCCCAACACCCACAGCCTTAGTTATCTCTCCATGGTGACCTTTTGCACAGAAACATCCTCTTAAACACAGCAGCATGTGCACATGTACCCTGACATTCCTGCAAAGTTTTGTTGAAATTGGTCCACAGGTTTGGAAGTTGACCAACATGCAAAACCTGTCTATATTGACCAGTTGCCATGGCAATCAATATTTCGAGGGAAAATGGTGCATGCACATCTACACATTGTCCCGAATATTACTGTAAAGTTTCATTGGAGTTGTCCAGACAAGATGTGTCTACAGACAGACAAACAGACGGATAGACAACCTGATTCCAGTTTACCCACCTTTTGGTGGTATAAGAATGCACAAGAGTGCTTACAAATTCCATGTGGACAGACATCATTGAAAAATAATGATAATAATAAAAACATGATAAAGATGCTTATATCTTGTTTTATTCAGTTTTTAGATACAGTATTCTTTCCATGCTTTGATCAGCAATGTAATCTTGTCATGTCAATATCCTAGTACAAGATTGCATACACAAAATTGTTGTAGGTAGACTTTTAAGATGAATAAAAAAAAATACATGCCTAAGTTTAAGGGAAGGTTTTAAACAGAAGTCGTAATATGTTCAGTATACAGTGATTTTTCTAGACAATTGTAAACTATAAACTCGATATACAGCGATCTTTTCTACACATTTGTAAACGACAAACTCAGTATGCGGTGATCTTTTCTACAAAAAGTTTTTTTTATATATATTGTATACACTAAACTTCAGAAAAAAAATAAATAAGTAAACCTTTCTATGTACACTACAAACTCTGTATACAGTGATCCTTTCTACACAAACTTGGTATAACTAGTGAATCTTTCTACTCAAGTAAATTGAAGATTGTATACAAATTTACTACAAATGCAGTATGCAATGATCTTTTCCACATTTTTTTAGTTTCCATGATTTGTTGATTCTTCTTTTGTGATGGTAAATATACTGCCGCCTTTAGAGAGTACTATGATCTTAAAAGGCAACATGGTTGTTAGCATCTCCTCAAGTGAATAATCATCTTCAACATCTAATTGGAGGCCGGAAAGAAGGACGTTTTTCTCCACCATAAGGTCCTCAAATCCATTGTTGGTCATAATGGCCAATTCCAAG